CAATGACACCTTATAATTGTGGCATAATAATTGAAATTATGTGGTCACATAAATATATAAACATATTTAAAATTTAAGTTTTATTTTATGTTTCAAATATTTCTGTAGCCTTATTTTAAAGTTGGTCGATTGGGTATATTATAACACTACTACAGTCATGTATCAATGAACAGTTCAACTTACAAAAAATCTTGAGCGATTCTTAATTACATGTATTTCATTTTGCCTCTTTTGTTTTGTGGGATATGATGACGTAAAAACCTCCCATTTTAAGACATTGCAATTTTCTGTACGAAATCTGCTGTGGTCATAGTATTATTTTTACAATAGGTTTATCTCTTAGATTTGGTTTGCTAAATTGCTAATCATGGTCATGCAACTACATAGTTAGGTGAAGAAGCAGGCGCTTGTTTTGGTTGAGTCTATTATGTTTTGTTTAGAGGGTTGAGTTGTCATACACAAATTTACAATTTATATGCATTTATTTTTTTTCAATGATTGTTATTATCTTGAATGCTTCTGGGATTGTTGTTTTATCAATTCATTTGTAAATAAGATTGTTATATGTCTATTAACGGAATAATTTTAATGAACACGAAATTAGTTCACACCTACATGTGTATTGGTAATGTAATGGTTTAAGCCAATGAAAACACGTCAATATTATTATACTCAGGCAGAGAAAAAGTGTGCAAAGAGTAAATCGATAATCTTTATGTAGCCAGCAAACTTTGAATTGCAAGTATTTTTTCATATCTTTTCGGCAGGATAAACTGTCCGAGGATTCGTATCGTAAAATGGCTGCCATTTACAGTATCAAGTGATTATCCCAAGCACCACCGCGACTTAGCGCGGGAATTTTAATTATAGCTAACCTCGGCGCGTATACCTTTTTCATATTTTATTGTAATAAATATTTATAAACTGTGTCTTCCGGGTTTTTTTTATCAATATATAACCAATAATGATGTTAATATGAATAAATAATCATATCTCAAATCTTTAACTATGATTTACAATGAAATTCTACCTTAGGTGTATTAAAAAGGTTTTTAATTTCCTGTAATTTTATTTTGTGATTATGCTTCAAAGCAGTCAATTGACCGTGAATTTTCTTTTCATATTTTGATTTCCTTGAAATCATTTTTCTCATCTGAAGTCATGCAACTTTAATATGGTGATACATTAATTACATTCCATGAAAATGTTTAAAGATATAAAATATCTCATGACATGTTTGTTCATTTAACATTACACCTTTAATTCAGCAAACATAAAGTCTTCACAAAAAGTAGTATGCAATCGTACCTATATTACATACGAATGTATGTAATATTTTTCTTGTTTACTCTGAAACGCACGAGAATCTCTCTTAAAAAGCATAATCAAAAGCGTTTTCATTAGATGATATCGTACAAGGGAAAAATGTCATAAAAGTTCATATGACAGGACAATACAAGGTGACTTAAAATTTAATGTATGATTTAGACTGTATTGCTTGACATACGTTTTAAATAAGTCTTACTTTGTTTGTTTAGCTCATCTTAGGCAAAGAAATGGTTCGAAAAAGTAAATGTATGAACAACTGCTCGCTCTGTCAAGCATAAATTTAACAAGGAAGGTATTGTATCATTACTGAAGAAGGTGCATTGTAATTACCTGTTATTTCTCCTAGAGAAATATTTACCTGCTGAAACACTCTTTAAACTTTGTTATTATATCACTTGAAGGCGAAATCTTTACAATAAATGTTAATTATGCATTAAACTGTTATCCTTTCTTTTTAAGTTTAATGATTAAATAATATAATGATAATTTGACTTGTTATTGAAAAGAAATAAAATGTTGCCGTTTGAGATGCGTATGTTATATTTGAACTATCAAACGAGTATTGAAAGTCATAAAAGCAATGATGTTTTTAAATATATGGAAGCTTTTATTCCGATATATTAAGGGAAGGTGATAGTGCTAGGATGCTAGAGAAATGTTAGACCTACAAAACAATATCTTTCAGGAACAGACTCATTCAGACCGAGTTAACAAATTTAACCTTTTTTGTTATGTTTTCGGTGCTCTCAAGGGATATCCCTTCACTCCAGATTTCTTTTGGTAATATACACATTTCTTTTTTATTTAACTTAGTCATAATACAAAACAATCAGCAGCATTTGCTTCGTATTCAAATAGATTATTATGTGTTAAAATCGGCGTTGTATTGAAAACATAATTCATTTTGAGATCAACTGACACAATTGTTCCAATAAATTGAAATACATTTTACTCGAAAAATATGGTGATATAATTGAAACATGTTGCCAAATGATTGGCTGAAAGAGAAACGTCCGAGAAATTACACGATTCTTAAACTTTATAGTTGTTAGCTCTAACAATTTCTCTCATTTTACGTCTGTTACGCCGTTTAGTTTTTTTTTAATTAAAAAAGAAACCTAAAACTAATAATAATACAACGAAATAAAACATGGGTAATTTGTTATTGGATCAGATTGCAAAACATTTTGTACATTGTACATGGAATAAGTAAACTCTTAAGAGATATGAGCTTTTATTCGCTAAAACCTATATCTATATGATTGTTTTATAACTTATTTAGGGTAAGCGGTGTTCCAGTCGTACATGTATAATTAAACATATAACACGGCAATTAATCGTAAGTTATGAAATTGGTCCTCGTCAAGTAGTATATCATTTAATTGCTATTGTCTAAGACGCTAAATCATTTGTGTCAAATGCTTCATTAATAAAGTTGGCTGATATATCGATGTAATTATATGCCGTCCTCTTGCAGAATTGTTTACTTACTATTGGTACATCCAATAAATTGAACAATCAACTGAATGTAGTATGGCTTTTAAACTGCTCTGATGCTTTCAATATCGTACAATTAGATATCCTAAAAGCATAGAGCGTGTACACCGTGTGCCAAAGTATTTTCATAAAAGTTTTATATCAAAATATAGAGACATATTAACTTTAGAATACTTCAGTGTCTGTTTTATGGAACTAACAAGTACTATGCTATTTGAGAATTCATTACTGTATCCCAGTATGGCCGCCGAAACTTACAATCCCTTGAAGTCAGAAGCAAATGCCTGAACATTGTTTCTATGTGATCTTTAAAACAATCGTGATGTTAAGTCTTGCAACTCGTAGGTAAAACTGATTATTGGCATTTTGCTATGTTTTCACTAAGATGTAATGGAACGTAAAGCCATTTTATGACATGAACTCTAATTATTGTAGTGTTAGACAAAAAGAAGATCTTATCATTATCTCATTTCCCAATCTCTTATAGATGTTACAGATAATCAACATATGATCGTGGTTCTTTGTTTGCCCCGAGAATAAACGTTACATAATGAGACATCTTCAATATTTGATGGTTCCTATGAATTTACCTATACATTTTACTATTGTTTTTAAAAGATAAAACTCAGGCTTTATGTATGATTAAGATTTTATATAGGAGATAACAGAAGTTGCTAAATTGTTCTGGTAACAAAACGCATACCATAAAGGTTACACGAATGTATTATTATAGAACATAAGTGTTTATATTTATAGACAATAAATGTCTGACCTTTCTATATAATTTCATAAGATATTTGAATGTCATACGTGAAACAGATTAAAACGGACCGTTGTAGATAAGAAAATATAAATTTTATTAAAGACACTTAAAAATCAAACTGAAAACAAGGTATATAAATATCTTATAATGTAGCAGTACTTCGCTTTGGAACCTATATGTTTGTGTAAATTATGAGAGACATGTGTACATAAACGTCATGTTGAATCGCTCTGTGATACCGTTTGTTTGTGTAGATACTCAGATATGCTTGTATTACTGATTCTATTACACAACAATGTCTATGTAGATATATTTTAACATATGTGTAATTAGTATCACGTTGACTGTTCTTTCTACCTTTTGCATTTTCACATTAGACGAATACCTATATTATATTTTGAGTATTTTACTCTTAAACACAATGTATGCTTTTCCACTTTGTTAATGTTTTTTAAATGTTTAGTAAAAGGGTGATCGAGTAACAACAAAATCAAATGAATAACAATTTTAAATTTCATTCAATTTTGTCTGATTATGGATTAAAGTGAAAAATGTAACAACTCCCCGTTCTGTTTTACAATATATAGATTACTTCTGAAGTTTTATTGTACATTCCATCAGCTGCATATTCTGAATTCATTTTTCTTTGCTAAAGAAGATTCCTTTCTTATCAGAAAGTGATATGAAAATTTGATAACACAATTCCGTAAATACAATGGTAGATGAAATCTGTAAAATGTTGCTAGAAAATACACATTTATCTCTTTGTGTTAGTTGCAAATCATGCTAGAAAGTAGCATTATACATAAAATGTGTGTTTTTGGTAGGAATTCTATTTTATTTCTATGTACTTTTAACTATTTCTTATCTGGTAAGTTGTTAATGTAAATTAAAACATTCATAAGGAAGTCATTCCTATGAAAAGTTATTGCAAAATTTATAAGATTTTACAAATATGTTTTTAATATTGTATGATAATCGCAAATATTGTTTTATTATTGCAAATATGTTATGATTGTTTCAAATATGTTATGATCATTGCAAATATTTTATGAAATAGAAACGAAAATATCTATCTAACAGAAATATATTATTAAAGCAACAGTTTTAACTCGGATACGTGGAATGTTTAAGTCACGTGATAAAGCCTAAACTGTTAAACTTTGACGCGATATCGACCATATTGCACAGTATAGATAAATATAATATTTGCCGGAAATTGCAAAAGCAATTTTTTAAGAAAATATATCAGTTATTGGAAACAGAAATTATGTCCTTGAAAATGTCATTGTATGTAGTGAATATAACATTATGCTTTACTTTTAAATGGAACATACATTGTTAATGTTATACAATATAAGACGATGCTGTTTTACTTGTTAAATTTTAGAGAAAAGTTTGAGTTGCTTACCGCTTTTCCCCACACCTTCTGCCCCGAGCACGGCTATTTTAGTTTCCCCTAGAGAAGATTTCTTTCTTTTAAGATAAGGTTTTAGTGTTGATCCTCCACCGACCGAATTTTCACCACCAAGAGTCCCCGCTGCACCAGAGCTCATTGTGTGAGAGATAATAGTTCTATAACACTTAAGTTTTGTTATATCTTTTCTAACTGCTTTGCCTAAAATAACTCACATTATTGTAACAGCTAGGTGAATACCAATGGTAAAACACTCGTAACGTAATTCTTCTTTTATGAAATCACTAATTATTTATGCACTGATATTAGTATCTTATTACTATAAATTAACCTTTCTTACATCACAATTACACCATAACAGCAATTGCTTCTTCTTTCATACGTTATAACACTTAGAAGTCTTTTCTAACATTAATCCATGTAAACGTTCCAATATCAAATACTTCGTGATAATCATTATCCCGGTTCTGCGAATTCCGTTACTTAGGAATACATACAAAACCTACTTTCAAACCAAAAATCGTAGAATGTGTAACAGCCCCCGCATCTTCACATCAGAAACACCTATTGAAAAAACGCCGATTGATGATAGAGGAAAATTCTGGGAACACATCAAGCAGAAAATGTTGTTTTCAGCAATTATACCTACATCGGTAACCTATGGTGGTCACGTGGTGTCATTATCCATTTTAGTCGATCATGCATTGTATTAAAATAACAAACGACTTATTTTATGATTTCGATGTGTTACGTCATCAATGTGTTAAAGGGATATTCAGGCAAAATAATGACAAGAATATTGTACTCAAATCACGCTAAAATGACTTATTTTGAAGTTTCAGCGTGAATTTTTGTTTATATTCTATATATTTTGGGTTTGAAGCGTAAATATATCTATATATGTTGAACAAAATCTAGAATAGAACAATAGAATCACAAAATAGTTTTAAAACAAGTCAGATGACTTGAACAAACCCTTGAAGTTACAATAACAGATATTGTGGATATTGTATGATTGAAACAAGCCTAAGTCATTCATTCGACATGTTCTTTAACGTTTCCAGAGTTCACTTGGACAACTATTGTGAAATGCTAGCGCTCTAACCCTACCCACGCGGGTCAAGTTAGGAAACCACCATTTTATTCTTTATATGGAGAAAAATTTTATTCCTTTGACTGTCTAATATATTCATTATGAGGGCATTTACAGAATAATGAATGAAAAATTCAAAACTAAGAAATGAAAATTTTGCCTGTGTCTCCCTTTAAATCCTAAATATTTTTCCAGTTTACTCAAATAAACACCAATTAATTTGTATTGTGCTTAACTTAATAAGGCCCCATCTTTATACATATATACATGTATATACGTAGGTTAAAATCTCAGGGACAATCGTTGACACGCTGACCATTAATGCTTTTAATCCTCTTCAATAAAGTATCTTTCGTGCGATGGTCAATTAACTGAAAGCGCATTAAACAATAGTTAACTAGTTATTAAAAGATAATCTACCTTGTTGGGTCCGAAAGGGATTTTCCATAAGTTTTTTAGAAGCCGTGCCACCAGTATGACCAAGCACTATAATAATGACAATTTAATTTTTCATCTTGATATCCCTAAAATCAATGCTGGACAATTTCCAAAGATTGAAACAGGACAAGCCAATCTAAAAAATACAGCAGGGCAGATGTACTAGATTAAGAATAAATATATTTGTGTGACTACATTTCTAAATTCTAATGTTGATCATTGGTTAAATAATTAAAAAAATTGTAAACCAAGACAACCAACATTTTTGAATTATAACATTCATTATTTGTCACTACGATAACACTAACATTTTACAAATTGCTGTAAATAAAATAAAACAACAGCATCAACAACAACAGCAGCAAAATAAACATTGCGTGCTACCAAAATACCGCATTTTAAGTCTTTGAAAATTTTGGAGTCTTTAGAACATTGTTCTGTTTCTTTGTATTTGAATACATATAATTTATGCGAATGTTCTGTTTTTAAAATCTGGAATTCTCATTAGACTACAAAGTAGAAAAAGACTAAATGGCGTTCCCTTTCAAAGGATTTACCAAAAGGGAATTGATAAAAACGCACTACAATTTATCCCCTACAGGATTTATGACTCTTTCTTAACACCATAGGTTCTATATGATTGCATTGTATACACGTCTTATTGTTTACCTTTACCCTGGCGTTCACCAATGTTCTACTAAAATATCCGTCGTGTTACCTATAGATATGTCTGTTAATAATCTAGGCTGCCTTGCCTGGTAAGTGTCGGTATGTTAATTATTATTGTTCAATTACTTCCTGATGCTTTGAAAAATACTCTTTCTGGCACAATCTTGATTTTTTCATTTATGTTCTCGATAGATTTGTGTGAATGTAATGATTACGAGAATGAAATATATAAAACAAGTTTTAATTAAAGGATGTTTCTTCCAAAAGATTGAAAGGTTGTAACTCTTTTATCACACTCTTTTTACCTTTATTTCAGTTTTCGACTGATTTGTTAGAAAGTAATGATTTAGGGAATGATTTGTATAGCCCAATTTCAATTAACGGACATTCTTCAAAACAGTTAAAGGTTATAACTCTTTTGGCACAAATATTTGTTCAGTTTCCGATATATTTATATGAATGCAAATATTTTGAAAATTATCTATTTAAAATAATTTAAAACTACCAGGCGTTCTTTTAAAGTATTAAAAGGTTACCAGAAAGTTGATATCCACACCATGTTTTCATTGTCAGTACGTTATCAAAGATATGTATAATCACGGATCTTAATGTTATATAAATCTGTGGTATGATATCGAATATTATATCACTGTGACATCATATTCGTTTTACTGTACTTTCATTACAGCCAAAATGTTTTATCATAGGCCTTTACTGATATAAAACTGCCAGGATTAAACAAATGAGTCAATACGAAAACAAAAACAGAGACAGGACTGTAATAAAGGAGTCCATTGCAAAAGGGTAAAGAATGATGACTTCAAACCATTTTCTCCTTACTGTTGACATTTCAATTTTTCATGTAGGGGAGCTATGTAATCAAGAGGACAAAGGCTGATACAATATGTGTTCTATGTTTGGAATCTAAACAAATATTAAGATATATAGTAATTAGTTACTTTACAAGTAGTAAGTTTTATAAATGCAAGTCAAAATACCACTTTGTTTATTTTGCTACCTTACGACACATTTTACTGAAGGTTCAACGGATTTTCTTCAGTTGTTAAACATCGCTCCATTACTATACAATTATTGACTAGTGTGCCATTCAATATGATGTGATATTCACCGGCATATGACATATTGACCAAGGCGATTGGCACATTAGTCAATAATTTTTGTATTTTCTGATGCAGATCAGGAAATACAATGCTACATTCAATCTCTGGCACACAATTTCACGATTAATATTGCAAAGATCAGAAAATACCACAGAGCTTGCAGCACTATGTTTTATTATAAAATGAATAGGCTATAAGAATTATAAAAATCACAGAAAGTACAACCTTATACATGTAAACTTTTGCCTGTTTCGTTGAAGCGCGGGGAAAAATGACGCACGTGTCAGGCGTGCAACAACTACGCGATCGCTGCTCATACAAAAGCAATTAAAGTTTATACTTATCATTGCAGTGTCACCTTTTACTATAATAGTAAAGTAATGATATTTTAATCGAGAAATAGGCCGTAAAGAACAAAACGCAGCAAACAAGCGTAATTAATTAACAGTCTACAATATATGTATATCTATATTTAGACTGGGAAAATCCAGTTCAGCCAATAAATATGATACTACACCCAGTGAATATGATTGTGGATTACTGTTTGAACCAATGAGATTCGAGCTATATTTAGATCATATAATGATAAAACATTATTAAACACATGTTTGACATTTCTTAGAATTTAAGAAATATATGGATTTCCGATGATTATTATAACATTTATCATTATTATTATTTATTATTATGCAGTAATTTGTGCAAAATCTTGACATACCCTCATGTTCAATACAATAGCCAACGAGTATTATGCAACAAAACAGACAACATAGTGCAAAGTTACAAAATTTGAGATCTGGCAATGAAATGCAAATCATTAGCATGGAAATACTTTACGATATAAATGATATGAATTAAAATACATCCAGATACAGTTTAATGTAATATTGTGCATAAATGGATCAAATATAATACACTTACATTTATTTTATTGCGAAAAGCGAGATATATTTACAACATCTAAAACTGTTAGAGCTTTTGATGAGAATTCAGACAACAGAGTTACGTAAACGAGAAAATGTAAAAGTTAGCATTAAGAATATAACACCGTTTCTCATAATGATTTGGCAAACTTGTTAATGCACTGTATGGTACATAACTCTTTACTTATTGCACTCTATCTCGTACAATGTTTAATATATTTAAATCTCTACATTTTTTATCATTATATCTTATTATGAAAATTGCTCTGTAATGGCATTCGGACTTTAAGTTAAGGCAATGACATAGTAACAATTCTAACCGTATATATAGCACTGTAGGATAACGGTAATTAGCCAGTAATTAGTTAACGGTATGCATAGACGGATATATTAATTTAATGAGCTGTCACGAATACTATGTTTAATCTAGTTAATTAATAGACCTGTCAACACTAAACGGGAAGTGTACTTTTGTACTTTAGATCGTGCATATATAATGGTTATTTAATTGTTTAGCTGTCAACAAATGCAATATTACTCTATGAATTATTTAAGTTATTAAATCTTAGGCGTAAAGTATTTTAGTATATAAGGGAGCGAAATATTTGATTATTTAGTGTAGTTTTTGATGTTAAAGCAGACTCACTCACTTTAGGTTAAATATTGCTAAATACGCATTGGCATTATTCTTATTATCTTTAATATTTGTATAAGAATTGTAAAGTTGTTAAGACATTGTTAAAAGCCAATTGTGTTGTATTGGTGAACAGTAAATTAATATATAAATAAATACATGATATATACGTTTAATAAACTTTTACTGTTAGTTGACTTGATTTCATTTGAGTAACAATTGTAACCGTATATATAGCACGTTATGGTAATATGGCAAAAGAATGGGTTTGATTAAACCGATTCATGGACACACTTAGGGTCATCTGCTTAAACAGTGAGTAATAATACATTAATGTATCTTTGTTAAGATCATCTCAATACGAGATAAAGATACTATATATAACAATATAAAGTGAGTATATTTATTTAAAATAAGAAGACGGTTTTATACATTTGTCATTATTTTTTTGGCCATAATTTAGAAGTGTGCAATACATAAAGTGATTGTTTATTTGAAAATTGTCTTTAACTTGGTGTATTTATTATTATAATTATTGCAAAATAACGGAACAATAATTGATGATTATACATATACATATATATAAGCGACGATGAAGGATTTGTATCTTATATATATGCAAGTGCTTAATTTATCAGGTAATTTGTGTTGACTTTAAATAAAAGTAACTTGGAATAATTTTGTATGTTGATAATATATAATATAAATATTTATGCCAAAAGTGTATTGTACTAGATTAAAAAAT